AAGAGATGATTGTAGAGATATCACTGGCGGGTCTGAGTCCCGGTGCTGAACCAAGCCCAGCCAATCTGAAGCTCTTGCGTCTGACCGGGGCCCAACGTGAGGGTATCGTCCGAGTGAAAGATTCTGCAGACCCGCCGCTGCCCCGAGCAGGCATGGACAAATCTTCCAACCCCCGACCATGCACCGGCTCGGGGAGTGTGTGTCCTTGTCACCAGCTGTTGATGCTGATTATATTCACAAAGGTCGTGCGCCAGGCCTGGTGAGCAGGAGGGTCGAGGTCAGTCTGACTCTGAGCGCCCGGAGACACCCCGTGCTGGGATGGCCATCGCGGCAGCTGGGAGAGCAGTCCCGGACGAGAGGTGCAACGGGGCCACAGCGCCAGGGCCTGCCAGGGAGACGTGGAGCCCACTCCCTGCGAGTGTGCCAGGCCGGGGCGCCGCGCGCGTGTGTGTGTGTCCGTGAGGACGGAGCACATGGGGAGGCTGGGAACCCCCAGCCACCAGGCCTGCCCGGCCACGGCTGTGCTTGTTTGCGCTGCTGGGGCTGGGGAGAAGGAAGGTACCTTCGCAGCCGCTGTGCGGGCCTTGCGGCCAGCAGGCTAAGTCAGTGCCCACAGTTGACACTCGCTGGGAGCCACGGAGGCTTCCGCAGCCCGTCTCCGTGGGGTTGTCCTGTGGGGGCGTGGCCGGGCGACCTGTTTGCGTCCAGCTGCCATGTGTCCCTCGTCCCTGCCGCAGCTGAGACTGGGCCACGTCCTGGGTGGGCTGAGGTAGGGCCGAGGTGTGGAGGGCCCAGCGGGCTGGTGCCGTTGCACGTGTGTCAGTGTCTGTCCACGTGTCTAGACCCGGTGGGCTACCTCCTCGTGCAGCTACTTAGGATGGCGGCGTGTTGCTTTGGCCGAGGAAGCTCCCCCCGAGGGGCGGGGCCGAGGGCCGGTGCTGACCGCCGCTTGCTCCACGCCCCGGCCACCGCCGCCCCTCGGGGAGTGTCCTGGGGTGGGGGTCCTGGCGCTGCCCGGGCCGGGGTGAGAGACACAGGAGAAGCGTGAGCACCAGAGATGCAGAGGGCCTTCTGCGCCCCTGCCCCGCCGGCCACATCTGAGTCACCTTGGCCTGGGGACCGCGGGTGAGGAACCCGAGGCAGCCGTTGGATGCTGGCCACCCCACCCCCCTCCCCACCGCAGGGCTAAATTTACCTTTTAATAAGAACCAGATTCACATCCGTTTTCTTTTCATTTTATTAGCCTGGGCCGTCAGTGGTTGGGCCCGTCTGTCATCGTGGCCCTCCTGCCGTCTCCACGTTTGCTGGGCTGGAGGAGCACCACGGCCAGTGTCCCCTTATGGCCGAAGACGGGCCAGCAGGCTTTCGGAGGTTCTCCTGGGCCGGCCAAGCGGGGCTTCCTGGGTGACGACATCCTGCTTTCTGGCTGCTCTGGGCGTCCCCTCTGGGCCCCGTGCCATCCTCGTCCTTCCCTTCCCCTGCGAGCCCCAGCCACCCTCAGGAACTGTGGATGCGGTCGGGTGTTGGTGGCCCGTGGGCCAAGGCACCTCAGACACTTCCGCTGCGGTGACCAGAGGGCAGCTCTGGCAGGGCAGGCCAGTGTGCAGAGAGACACAAGCACGTGGGCCAGGCAGACATGGGGGTGGTGGCTCTCTGGTCGGGGCGGGGGCCACCGAGGTCTGAACAGCGGCCTGTGCCCTGGAGAACTCACCTGCCAGGTCGGCCCATCCTGGGGATCCAAGCCTGAGAGGGGCTTCGTGACAAGTCTAAGGAAGGCCGGTCCCGAGTCCTCCATGGCAAGGGGAGGGGCGCGCACGTGGCCTGCCAGCTGCCCCAAGAGTCCACAAGGTCCCCAGAAGCAATTCCTGCCTGGGAGAGCAGACTGAGACTGAGTGGCAAGGTGGGGCAAGGGGCTCCTCCCCGGGGGCCTGGGCTGCAGGCTGGAGCAGGCTTGGACCAGAGGCCGGGGTCCCCTTCCACAGTGGGCCTCCGTGTGCATGCGGCCCGGGGAGGGAGGGGAAAAAAAAGGGGGGGAAAAAAAAAAAGTGGGAAAGTGGGTAGGAACCCGGGCAGCCGGCCGTCCTGCAGCCCCTCCCACCCGCAATCTGGCGCACAACAGAGGCCTTTGCAAGTGACAGGCTGGGCAGGGACAAGTCTGGGGAGTCTGACCCCCAGCCGTGTGGCCCACCAGGCCAAAGTGTGCGTGTCCAAAGCCATGCATCCTTGGGGACACACAGTGCACACCCAGAATGTGTGCCACTCACAGTCACATGCCATGCTAGAGACACATGTGGGTGCCCACACTATGTCCCTCCCCTGCCTCTGTGCGTGAGCGAGTGTCACCCACATCCTCCTCAAGCCAGGCCACCCAGCGGCACCAGCGCGAAGCATCTCTGGGCTGTGCTGGGGGACCGAGCCCTGCACACACCTGCACGACTCACACCCACCTCCGCCAACAGGCCGCCAGTGTGTGGGCTGGCCTTCTGGCTCCTGGGTGGTGGGAGTCCAGAGTGGCTCTCTACCCCAGCACCTCGTCTCCCCACCTGTCCCCTCTCCTTCCCCGGCAGCCAGATGTCATCTGCCACCCCTGCCTCCAGAAAGGCTGGACGGACGCTGTCCCTGAGTGACCCCCCCCCCCCTCCACCGTCACAGGAGCCGGCATGGAGTCTCCTCCCCTTTCCTGGAATGAGAGGAAATGTGGCCGCAGCCTGGGGGAGCTGATTATCCTTCCTGACCCGCCCTGCTGCCCTGGGCCGGCCTGGCAGGAGGGCTGCTTTGCTGGGCCACGTCTCTCATGGTCTCAGCCCATGCTGGGGTTCCCTGGGGGACGACCCAGGGACCTCCGCCAGGGCAAGGCCCCGTGGGCCGGGGAGATCGGGCAGGAAGCAGTGCTGAGGGAAGAGGGAGTCTGACGGGTGTGAGCGGAGGGTGGGGAGCTGGCAGGGCCGGCGGGATGCAGCCCCCAACTCGGAGCGGGGGAGGCCGTGCCAGCAACTGTCAGCGGGTTTTCCGGAAAGCAGCGGGAGCCTGGGAGCCTGGGAAGGACTTGCCTGCTTCTCGGAGCTGCCGCATCTTCAGCGAGCTTTTTTTTTTTTTTTTTTTTCTTTTTTTTTTTACAACCCATTTCACAGTTTCCAGAAAAGGAGGATGCTGTCTCAGCGCTACATTAACTCAAAACAAATCTCGTTCCGACCGCACTCCGTGCTCCCGCTCCTCCTCCTCCTCCCTGCTCTCGCAGCCCTTCATCCGTCCCCTCCCGCTGGCCTGCGGCCGGTGTCACCCTTGTGGAGCGGCCTGTGCAGGAGAGCCCGCGGTGGGTGGCACAGCGGCACCGCGTCCAGCTCCCAGGCCCGGCTCTAGTGCGCTGGTCCTGCGGGACACTTGGCGGAGCCAACGCGTGGCTCTGGTCAGCGCCGTGGGAGGGCGGTTCAGTGCGCCCCCGACGGGAAGCTTCCCTGGTCAGCCCTGGGCTCTGGTCTCAGCCTCCTCTAGCACCCCTGGGCTTGCCCGGCCAGCAGTGTGGTGGGAGGAAGGCTGACCTTCCCCACGTGGCCTCCACACAGCGTCCTGGGGTCAGGGGATTCTTCGAGTGTCGGTGGACCACTGGCCAGTCCTGTGCAGCTGGTCGCCGCCTCCCCAGGTGCATGGCAGGCCTGAGCACAGGGACAGGCCTTGCCAGGGCTGGGGCCTGTCGACTGGCTCCCCTGGTGGTCTGGTTGCGCTGGGTCTTCCAGAATGGTCTTCTCAGCCAGGCGGTGCGCCTGAGCCAGGCCCCACCGGTGTCCTGGGCAGAGCTGAGTGCCTTGCAGCTGGGGCGGGACCTGCCGTGTCCAGTGCATAGCCCTGCCTGGGCCGGCCGGGCCAGCAGGCAGCCGGCTGGGACCAGTTGGTGTACACGCGGACCCCCCTGCACCTGACACTTCCCGGTCCTTTTCCGGGACACCACCGGTGTGTCGATGTCCCCATGCAAGAGCTGACAGGAGCGCGTACCTGGGCTGTTCCGTGGCAGAGTCAGGCCTCCTCCATGCCGCCAGTGGGGACAGGACAGCCTTGGCAGGGAACAGGCTGCTAACCCCACCCAGCTACATTTGGGGCCATGGGTCCTGGAACTGGTGATTTAGGTCAGTAGTAGCCCAGTCGCTTAGTTTTGAGCCAGCCCGTGGCCTGGGAGCGTGGCGGCACTGAGTGAACCCTCACGCAGGGGAGGGCCGTGTGTCAGTGCCAGCGTGGGACGCCAGCCAAGGGGCCAGGTCAAAGCCCCAATGCTGTCCTCCTGGGCTGGTAATCACCAACTCGTGGGACCGGGGACGTGCAAGAGGAGAGGGCCTTCCAGCCAGTTCCGGCTGGCCTTGCCCATGCGTTGGGCCTGGCGGGGGCCCAGCTTGCACTCGGCTCACCGGCAGCGGATGCACTGGCTCCTGTCTGGGGTTGGCTGCTGGCTGGCGGCCGGGGGCTTTGGGAGGTGGCAGCCAGGTCTGCCCAGGGCTTGCCGCCGGCCGGTGCCATCGTATGGATCCTCAGAGGCAAGAGGTGACATGGGAGCGCAGTGCTCATGTCTGGCCTTAGGAGCCGGTGGTGGTGGGG